GACTGATATTATATATCTTTGGACAGTTTAGTGCTTCTTTAATGGGTATTACATCTGACTACAGTGTTATGGAAGGCTGATGGATAGTTGTACATTAAGTTATTCTGAGTAGACTCCTCCGCCTACGCGGTTATCTAGCTTTGAGCCGTATGTGAAAAAGGTTACGTTGGGGGAAGTACGTATGGATAGGGGTGTGAACTACTGGCACACAGCCGTCTGTTTTCGAAGGGATTTTTGAATTTCCTTCTAGAATAGATGCATGTCCATTAACATGAGCCCTCCAGACTGAGGATTCCCTCAGTCTTATGGCCGTGAGTGTCTTGTTGTGTGTCTTGTCTTTCCAGACATGGAATGTTCAGAATGGCATCTAATGACTCACTCTGCATGATCCGCAGAGCCCTTGATATGCAGAGTTCGGCCATAAGTTTAACTTTATTAAGTTATTTTTTTGTGGTTTTCTTTTTAGGAATGAACCATATTTGCGAATGGGGTTATGGAGCCTGATGGATTTCCTACACGCGTGTAAAGCGAGTGTCGCCTTTCTTACCCCTAACTGGGTGTTTAGGTTCCAATCGAGTTTTCTAACTAGCGTCAGCCCTAGGAAGTTAGCGCTGTTGCTAGATGATAGTACTATATTATTTAGTCTGGGTGGGATCAGAGGAGGGATTTTTTGATTTCTTGTGAACAGAATAAGTTTAATTTAGTGGGATTCACACTTAGCCTAAATTCTGCCGCCCAGTATTTCTACCTACTATCTACTGTAAATACAATTTAATTTAAACGCTACTGTGTAGTGGACCACTTAAGTATAAGTGGCGCTGAAGTTACGGACGATCAGATAGGCGATAAGTATATACATAGATACATACATAAACACAAATATACAGGTACAAATATAAATTGTATGATTATATAATTGTACAACTATATAAGTACACCCGTGCTTAAATAGAAATACAAATATAAATATAAGTACAAATGCCAATTCACTGCACAATTATTCCCTCGATGCAACAACGAGGTTGACTCGCCGCTGTGGCCAGTACGCTAAACAATATATTCCCTCGATGCAGCGAGGAGAGTGTTGCTATGGTCCAGCTCAAAATATTCCCTCGGTGAAAGCGAGGACTCGCCGCTATGGACGGTATAGAGCAGCACCAATATGCCCGCTCGTCTAGCCCGAACACTTTACAAATAATTCCCTCGATGTAGCGAGGAAACTGTGGCTATGGTCTAGTGGACGTTGCCACCTGCACCAAATTGAGCCTACCAACTGGTTTGAAATTGGAGTTCTGCGGATCAGCTCCTCTTTAATATGCTACCGAGCTTGAAATCCACTTTCTTATTTTATTTATTCTAATAAATAAAATAAAGTCGATTTATTTTAATAAAGGAATTTTCTCGTCGGCATATCCTTACAAGGTGGAGCACCAGCACCAGGTTTACCCAAGATTTTGCAGCTGTGCCCCAAAATGAAATCCCATATGACCATTTGGGCACGATGATGCTCCTGTACACCAGCAGCTTGTTGCTCATGCTGAGTTTGAGGGATAGCTTCTGCAACCAGTTGAGTTTCGCCCTTTTGGATCTAAACGATGCCGCCGTGATCTGGATCTGTTTGCGCCAGGTAAGTTTCCTGTCCAGATACATACACAGGTTGCGAATGTGGTTCTCCTGAGGTATGACCATGCTGTTGAGTCGGATAGTTGGACAGTTACCATTCCTGAGGGCAAACGTGCAATGCTGAGACTTGCTCTCATTGACGCAGATGTTCCACCGGTTGGCCCAAAATCACTAAAACCATCCAAGAACCTCTGTGTAGCCGCAGCTGCTCTCCAAGTCCAGTGGTGGAGTTGGTAAGGAGCACTGTGCCATCTGCGTACGTGGCAAGCAGCTTATTTCTAACAATGTGCACAGGGCAAGTCCAAGGACATTACACTGCGGTACACCCGCTCCAATGCGTCGGATGTTTGATCGCTCGTCCCTATCTTCCAGCATAAAAGAACGGACAAGCAGGTAAGACCAGAGCAGTAAATACTGCGCCGATGGTTGTAGTGACTTAAGCTTAAAAAGCAGGTCGTCATGCGTTTCGCGATCAAACGTTTGCTGAATATCCAGGAAGACGGCAGAGCTGTACTGCTTATTTTTCAAGTACGCGAGGACATGTTGTACTACTCGATGAAGTTGCTCTAGTATACCATGGTGATGCTGAAAGCCAAACTAATGATCAGGAATGGCTCTCTGGAAGACACTTATTGCCGACAATCTTCCAAGAAATATTTTTTCAAATACTTTGGAGAAAGTGGACAGCAAGCTTATCGGTCGATATGACGAGACAAGATTATCCGGCTTGCCAGGTTCCGGAATTATCGCAATCACATCACACATCCACTGAGTGGGGGGAAAAGGTGGATGCGAACCATGGAGCTAAAAAGCAGCACCAAGAACATCACCCCCTAAACTTAAAACTGACTCAATATCCTGTACCTGGCTGGGTGGTAAACCGACCTTGCAGCTCATCCGCAAATGCCGATGCAATTTCAGCCGTCTGAGTAGTTGCCGTTGGACACACCGGATTGCCTTCCACAAATTGAATCCACAATTTTTTTGGAAATCTTAAAGGGGGGGTTTCCCAAAAAAAAAAAATTTTTTTTTAAAAAAAAAAAACTTTCTTTTTTAAAAAAATTTTTTGGAGGAAGGGGGGGGGGGTGGGGGGGGGGAAAAAAATGCTGGGGCTGCTGATGTTGTTGTTGAAGTTTGGCAACAACAGCATATGAAAAATTTTCATTGCGTATGGTGCCGGGTTCATTGGGCATTCCGTAAGTATTGAGCAGACCTTCTTGACCCAGAATCCGTTCCTTGGCAACGCATTGATAAGCTGGGCATCCCTTCCAGCTTGCTGGTTGTTGTTGCTGATTGCCGAGTGCGAGTGCAGATTATAGCTGCGTTCACGAGTACCAAAAACCTGCAGCGCATCGCCGGCAGTGCCGGGTACACCAATCGCACGCACTCTAGCAAAGTGGCGGCGATGCACGCACACACCTGCAATACAACTCGGCGAACGTTGAACAATTTGAGAGAGAGAGAGAAACGCGCACAGTCACACGCACAAGCACACGGAAAAGTGCGTGGGATGTGGCGAGAGAATCACAGCTTGAGCTCATCGTGATCTTCCGATGGTGCGGACAATTATTGTTTTGGATAAGCCAACAGTAAGAGTTAGGCGTGAGTTCAAATATTAATATTTGCACGAATTTAATACAACTTATTATGTTTATCAATTAACACATTAATCATGTTGTAATTCTTATTACAATAATAATATTATTAATAATATAATAATAATATTATTATTAATTAATTATTAATTATATAAGCCGCTAATTAAAGTGGTATTATCCATTAAAAAGGCTTATTGAACACAAATTGTCGCAGTCACCAAAAAAAACCCGTAAAATGAGACTTCATAAAAATGTTCTAACAAATATATTAGTACTGAAGTTTTAACATTTTCTATTTGTTCTACCCCAAGCAGAAGTTTGGAACCTGTTCGTGACTTCAACTCTCCGGATTACAGTATAAATCAATATCTCATTCATTTCGGCTTCCTGTGATATCGAAATCTCGCGAATGAGGCTCTGGTATTTCTTAAGGAAGACAGAAGACTTCGTAGGAATCGTACCTCTGAGGATAACATAAACCGGATTGCTAGGCGCCAAGGGGTTATTTGACAGTAACAAGCATTTCGAGAATATCTCAGCGAGAATAGAGGATATTAAACGCCAATCAGCTCCTAAGTTATGAATACACACACTCTTTGATATCGCTTCGCTTATTCTGTCGTTTAGCTTTCGCACTCATATTTTTTATACTTCGATACCGAAGCTGTCATATTATATTGGTTTCGTGCAATGTCCATCATGCTGTCCGTCTGTACACCCTTAGAGATAGGGTCTTGAATCTTAAATGGAACATATACTGGTATGTGTCCGCGTCAGGCAAAGTGTCCGCGATATTCGCAAATCCACAATTTTAAGGCTACAGTTACTAAATTTGGTTAGTCGGTTGTTGGCGATATCTTTCAAAGATCGGCATATGCCACGCCTACCTTCGCCGCCCCATGACCCAACCCCTAAAAATTTCAAATGGCTATATCTTCCGCATTTTTTGAGTTGGAGCCGTCAAATTTTGAATTTATATTACTGGTAGCCGCCTATAAAAGCCGATAACAAATTCGTATAGCCACGCCCACACCTGCCCCCATAATCGCTAAAGCCGATATTTCAGAAAGTGTGAATCGACAAGTCCGCCCACACACGCTGCCCCCAGGACCTTCGCCTTTAGAAATCTGAAATGCGCATATCTTCCACAATTTGTAAGCTAGTCACCAAATTTTACAAGTATGTCTCTGGTAACTCGCCTAAGATATCGATAAAAAAAAATTGGATGGCCACGCCCACTGTGCCTCCCTAAATCGATACACTTGTTAATGTAAATCGATAAGACCATATTTCACACACAATTTTCACATGCTATCAGCCTTTATCACGTATGGTATCAAAGTATTTCACAGTCGTTTCCGCCCGACTGGCTCCGTTCTCTCTTGTTATTTATTAAAATCTATATTTATTGTTCGATTTTGATGAAATTTCTACTAGCTAATCAATAATATATGAAGGTAAATCGAATTATAATGGTCGTTATGTTCTTTATTACATGCTATTTGCCGAACCTGTCTAAAATTACCATTCTGTAGATGCGTAGGAATTTATTCCTGATGCTTTTTTTAATACATTTTTGATAAGCGCGTTTGCTATTGTGCCTGAGATGTAGATTAATCCCGAGTTAGATGCTGTCTTGATAGACGTCGTCTCTATCTGCTTTCAGAGATTTTGCAGCTCCTGAATGGCCTGTGGAGTCAGCATGATCATTTTATCAGTTATGTTCGTAATTAGATAGTTAGATAAAGACAAAACTAAATTAAAGGAATAAAATGTATGTCATAAAAGTTTTTCGAACAATGTTGTGCTAACATATTTAATTTTCGATTTTATTCAAGTAAATAAATAAAAATATAATTTATTTTAAAGATCTCTTTCCTTTGACAACAGTTGGTCGATTTCTGATTAATCCCTTGCGCCTTTTCAAGTTCTGAAAAGAGTCAATAGTATAATATGATTAGTCTTTAATATTTAATATTTAATAGTATGATATTACCTTTCTGGATATAAAGTTCGTTGGTGGAATAAGCCTATCTTTTATCTTTAAAGACGGACGATTGAACTCATAAGGCTTTTTAACTCTGTAGATTCGAACCAGCCAGTGCTCTGTGGTATACGCTTCTTCCAAGTAAGTTAAATCAAAATCTTTATTGCCTATTACAGCATTACGAGTCCGATCATATCCAGAAGGACCCCTATAAATATATGAAAATTTAAAAGGTTTTAGATCTATTTTGCAGGAAGTCTTAAAATATTTGTATCATATTTTTTTACACACACATAGAGAAAAATACTTATTTGCTAAATTATATTAATTGTACAACAAATTTAACAGCGGGACAGTCAAGATTATTCGACTTGGAAATACTCAGATTTATTACAAATTTCAAGACAATAATAACCTTATTTTACATTTATCGACACAAAATTGTTTAAAAGGTACCTTTTTTAGATTTGTTGACACAACAATTTAAAAAAGTAACCAATCTAAAAACTAAAAAAAAAAATCGAATTACAATTTAAAAAGTGAAATCGCTCGGGTTGTAATTCATTGTATGCACATTTGGTTATATATAGTAGACGTACGCTGTTTCAGATTAAATAAAAATCGGCAAATAAGTTGAGCAGATACATGCAGATGAATGTGCCGCAAATAAAAATAAATAAGTAAATTATTAATATTTATTCATTTAGAACTTTTCCATTTTAGTATATAAGCAGATCAATTCATATGAATTAAATTACTGCTCTCTATCAGAAAATTCTTCCAAATTTACACTAATGTCGATTAATCTTTGTCCTTTTCTATCTTTGAAAGGGGTTAACAGCAATCTGCACCAAACATTTTGTGACTGATTAAAAAAAATTGGGATGATTATGGGCTCACTTGTGTATTTGTTTTAACCATCTATGAAAATGAAAGACAATCTAAGAAAGTTATAGCGCAAATTGGTTAACCTTTTTTAATTTATAGTGTTTTTTCTTTTTAGTTTGTTTTTCAGGCGTTGCCAGTAAAATACTTTTTAAGTTTAGGATTCTAACTCTTAAACTGTAAAAGTGAAATCAAAATTAAAATCTTCGAAGAAGCTAGCTTTTAATCTACATTTCAAACATGGAGAATTATATCCTAAATAGTGGGACATATTCTTTTTCGCTAGGATATCGACATTTTACCGAAGGAGGGCTGACCTGAACGCTTATCAATAATCTGAATTCCTATTTAAAATATAGAAGTTTTGGATAGTTAGAATGGCAGCTACCAAATATGTATATTTCATACGATCAGACATTTCATGTGTGACACTTATTATAAGAATACCCTATCTAATCGGAACTGCAAAACAACCTTAGCTAATTAATTCGGAAAAATTAATTTCGCCACTTATTGGTTTATGTAAGATTATACCAAGCATGGTTCCACTATCAGAAAAAGAAGGAAGATATATGATTAAAAGTCTATTACGGTAAGAAGGTAGGTTGATATTAGAATTCCAGTTAAGACGCCGTCCTGATGACCCCTTGTAATCGGCAGATCCACATTCATGAAAATGACGCAGGGCTGAATGAAACCCAGGACACCAAAAGCTTTATTAGTGGCAAAAAAGTAAGCTTGTCGACCTTAAGTTTGGGATCTAAACATTTACACAACTTAAAAATACCCATTTTACTTTATTTTAATATGTAAAAAATCTTGTACAATGTCGTTTGAAAATATATTCTTACCTGTAGTCCAGTTTCAAGTCTCCAAAGCGATAGTAGCTCAACTTGTACATAAGACAGTTAAGTAGGGCAGGAGCCCCCTCGGCGTCTACCCTAAATTCACCACGGTCCGTAAAGAAATCAGATTCTTTAATATCTTTTGGATGTTCTCCTTCCGCAATGCGCACCATCCAGAGGAACTTATTGATATCATCACCCGAATAACCAATGACTCCTCCAAATATAACTAATACATAGTCCACATCCAGAGACGTCATGATTGAATACGATTTCTCTTCAGTTGATGACATTGCTTTGCCGACTAAAGCTATATGGCTATTATTCCATGTATTATTATCAACTAGCGTTGTTCGATTGGCCATCCCGGCTATTTGGTATCCGTAATCCCACCACGACATTATGCGAGCATCATCGGCAGTGTTTTGGGACAGCCAGTAATACGCCTCCCTAAAATCATCCAATATGTTTCGCGATCTGAAAAACAAAATATAAATTGTTTAAAAGTTGAAATTTACAGCGTGTTTCTTCTAAGTCAAAAGATGAAAACCAATAAAACAAATAAACAAATTCAAAATATTTTCGTATTGGGATCTTTGTATCAAAATTAAATTAGTACTTACCCATCCTGGCTATTGTGGAAAGCAAGAACGATTGAGGGACTTGAATACGCGTTGCTTGTGACCCATGTGCAATGCACCGCAAACATCATTAAAATCATCAGAACCGCCAAAATGACAATGCTCTTCAAATTGGAGCTCATGCCACCCTCATGTGTGGGATCGTGTTTGGTGCGATGCCTCAATTTGCCGGCCTGTAAATATCAGATATTTATATTATTATATACTCGTGGCAAAGGTAACATATACATATTTCACTATAGTAAAGAGATCCGAATTTTCAAAGCACATGTTCGATCATAAACAAATGAACATATCATATGAACATCAGAAAGCTGCATCGATCATGATGGAGCACCGCTCTAAAAACTCAGGGTAAGCCAGCAGCAGCATGATAAGCAAAAAAATGGCGAAGCAAAACGATCGAATTCAATCTTATCTTTTACCTAATGGCCTTCAACCTCCAAAGAGCTTGGATGGCCGACTCTGGTATAAATCAATTCAGCGTTCGGCAACTATTTAATGACTAAAATTCGCTCACGAATAATAATGATTATTCGACGCAAATGATCATCCAAAAGAATCGATCGAAGCGATCATACCAGTAGAATATAATTAATGTAATGCTGAGATGCATTTCATTGCTTTTATTATTCAACTTTATCATGAAACCATCAAGCCAAACGCGATCAAACGGATGTAGAATAAGAAAAGTTTGATTTGCATTAGCTTTTTCTTCAAAAGTTTCAAAAATATAATTGTCAAATTTAAGAAACTGTTGGTGAGTATCATGAGCGTTGCGGAAAGCCATTTTAAAGTCAGGAATGGCATCCATTAAAGATGAATAAAAAAAATAATAAAATACCCGATGGTTTCCACATTACAAATTGAGATTCATGCATTTTTGACACACACAAATTTAGAAATTGAGTTTGCTCCACAGGCTTTCACATTGCTTTGATGCCTTTCAAAATTGAAGAAATGTTATTTGAATGGTAAAACTTAATAAAAGTACATTAACAATTGACAATTTTCAAATTATTATATACAATAAATTGCGCTTAGAATTTTGCAATTTACATTAATGCAAGAGAATACTTTAAATGAAATAAGCTGTTTTCTAATAGTTTGGATGGAAAATTAATATTAAGGTCTACATCGGAGTTTTATCAATTGTTGAATTAACAAGTTTCTAAATTATATATTTAGCATTTGCACTTAATAAACAAAATCATCGTTTCGAGTATGAGTAAAAAGCATAAGATCGTTTTCAACCTGTGTTTTAAAATCACGAGTATGTTTTTGGTGATATATTGATATATTAACTAAGCATACGTAGAAAAAGATTGTATTTACCTTATCGTATAAGCTTTTCTTCTCCAGTGATTCATCGAGGTCATCTGTTTCCGAGACGGAGTTCATAACACTTCCGGTTCGCTTCGATGCATCCTCCTGCAGGAAGACGTCCAATAGTCCGGAGAAGGCGACACCAGCAAGCATGCAGACAACTGGCGTTAGGGTCAACATCAGGCGGACCATGACGCCGGCAAAGTAGACAGCACTTATGGCGTAGAGCACAACAAAGACGCGCTCATCGTTGATTTGCTTGATGCAATACCAGAGACCCACGGGGAAAGCGCAGACCAAGATGTGCAGGTCAAAGAAGAACGAGAACCAGGTTGTGGGCTGATGCTCCGAGACTGAAGCAATAATGGGTATGTGAATCTTTGCATAGCCCGTATCCCAAAGCGAGTAAAATCGTCCACTCCACGGCGCGACGACGCCCATCATGGTCAATCCAACGACGGCAACAAAGACAATGGCCGCCGCCAGCAGGCCGCCAACAATGAAGAGTTTCTTGAACTCATTCCGGGATAGCACGGATTGCAAGTGTCGCAGCACGGCGACAGCCATGAGCAGCACAAAGACACCCATCGCAGCCATGTGCTCACTTGTGCGTATCGGCTGGAATCCCACGAAGGGTATTTGCATCGAGAACAGCAGACCCAGGATGTAGAAGGTGCTGTAGCTGGTCAGCAATCGGGGCGAGTAACGGCCCATTATGAGCAGGACAAATACATGCAATGGTATCAGATTAATGATAAACACATATCCGCCCCACGCAGACACCATGTAAAAATAGGAAATCGCTGCACCTGCTGACCAGAAAACCGAACCCGTCTTCACGGAACGCACCCAGAGGAAGTAGGTGAATTGCAGGGCAAAGATGGCGATGCCTTCATTATCATAGGAGCCAGCCACAGAGCGACTAATATATCCAGGCACAATGGCAATAAAGCTAGCTGCAAAAAGTCCAGCGCCCGGTGACCAAAGCTCCTTCGTGAGCAGATAAGTCGAGATTGATGTGAGCCCACTGAACACTGGAGCCAAAAATACGCAGATATCTCGAATGTGCACCGGAATATTGAGAACATGCAAGATGTAATGGATGCTGCCGGAGGTGATCATCAGGCCGGGGTAAACAGTGCCGCCGACAATGCGGCCGAGGGGATACCAGGCGCGCTCATCGAACCAATTGAGAAACTTGTACCAGCCATGCTGCACCATGTAAGCAGTCGCTCGATAATTGAACCATGGATCGAATTCGTGGATGATCGACTCGAATCGGATGACGGCAAAGAGGCGTGACGAGAAGCCGGCGATCCATGCAATGAGTAGGACTGCAAATGTTATCAGGCTGCTGTAGCCAGCAACCTTACTATTTAATATCCTTGAGCTACGATTCATTTTAAATGCCTCCACACCTAAATTTTTAACACAATTGGAGACAACTGAGACACGTAGCCTAAAAAATAATACCGGCGATTACAGTGTGGCCATCACACGTCATTTTATTATCGTGCATGAGGGGTTTTACACGTTACAGCCGTAGTCACATGCACCTTCACAAAAGTAACATGAGGGATATTCCCGCAGGAAAAAGTTTGTTGTTATGTCATTTTTATGGACACATGAAAAGAGAATTTTATTAATTTAAATTGAAAAATTAAATTATAAACAAAATGAAATTAAATTAAATAAATGAATATTTTGAAAATACATAATACTATAATAATAAAGTGAAATTAAAATTATATGCTATTTTAAATGGTAAAATTCAAGAATGTGCGACGTAGCCTAAAAAATTCAAGAGCGAAGCAATTATTCGTAAATAGTTTAAAATTTAACATGAAAAATGTAGATTTTCGAATTGATATTAAGCTGTTGAGCAAATATGCCTCAATAAGCAAAATGAATTCAAATATGCATTTTGGTTTAAAATAAGCAGATATAAAATGAAAATTCGTTATACATATGAATATCACTAGAAAATGTTCCATTTTACGCATTAATCGTTTCTGTTTTTAGGTTACCGACAAAGGTTTCATTTCCAATTTGTTTTAAATAGAATGCACTTCACTGCAACAGCTGTTTTAACAGTTATGCTAAATTTGTACAGCAAAAATAGCCAAAGAAGTATGCGAGCGTCTGTACCCAATCCATCAATGAATCCAACTATTAACTTTCTTAAAAACAGAGGATTCCCAGGATTTTTTTTTTGTGGCAAACCTATCTGTCGCCAGTGGCATGGTTGACTCTTAAAAAGCAGTTTTATTTACTTCAAAAGCCAGTACATGGAATTTAGAAATTGAGTTTGTTCCACAGGCTTTGACATTGGCTTAGCGCCAAAATATTATTAGAATAGTAAATATTAATAAAAGTACATTATTATCATTATGATTGGGGCACCTGCACTGCGACCCATTAGATATGTTGTGCCGCCTTCTGAGCGCTTCTCCATCCAGAAATGTTATCTTTGTTGGGTTGAGGGCATGTCCGTGAAGCTCACAACATGCATCCCCTGAATGCTGCATCTTTTCCTGGTTAAGGCGACACACTGCTAGCATGTGCATTGAGGGTTCCCCCTCGCTTTCACAAAACCTGCATAGTTCGCTGCTATAAATACCTAGTTTTGTTAGGTGACTTCTTAGTCTACAATATCCTGACAGTAGACTGGTGAGTATCCTAAGACTGTTCTTTAAAATTATAGCCACCTAAAAGACATCTGGCTTGTCGGAGTCCTGGTGTCACTGTCCAGCACCGTTGTCGCCTGTCTTTCTTCCTATGCCACAAAACGGTTCTGGCCCTGTTAGCGGCCTCTCTGCGCCCAATTTCGTTTGCTCATCAGCCGCTTCGTTCCCGCTATATCCCTGTGGCCCGGGACCCATTTTAGGGTAAGCCAATTATGAGTCCCGAATTGGTCAAGATTAGTCAAGTTAGATCGTATAATAGAAGAACAAGAGAATGATAAAATAAATTTTTGTATAAATAGTTTGGTCGGCTGTAAAAATGAATGTTAAGTTCTGCATAGGTATTTTATAACTTCTTTATTAAACAAATGTTTTAAAATCAAAAATTTTGCATTTATTTTTAGTATTTGAGTATAGACTAGAAAAATAAATTATAAACTATTTGTGCACACTTTTAATTCTCCAATCTAATAAATCGTCAACACTGCATTCTTCTTCAGAGCTGGACGCAACATCGACGAACTCAAGTGGTCTTTTTTCAGAACGTTGCTTTTTGAAAATACAGTTTTTTCTGTCGTTGATTTTGATGAATCTCTTCCAGTTTTCAATTTGTTCGTCTATTTCCTTCAAATGTCTCTTATTATTTAAGCTATCCTGTTCCTCCGAGACTATATTATTCGATATTGTAGCAGCTTCTCTGATTTCACGTTGAAATTTAATCCATTCCGTTTCCAGATCACGATCGCTCCCAGCCACAGTCACCGATTTCTCCTGATCAAAGAACTTTTCTGGTAATACCTGAGGCGTATTTAATTGTACAACTTGAGGTGCGGCCTCAGAACTTCCACCAGTTTGCAGCTTGACATCACTGTTTTGTGCAATGCTCTCTGAGACTACAGGTTTGGCTTTTGGTGGTATTTGCTCAGAGTTTGCGCTACTCAAGGTATCTGAATTTTTCGCATCGGACTCGATTCGCTGTCGTTTGGCGAGTTCCAAATTTTGCTTGTGTTGCTTTGAGTTCAAGTGCACTTTCCACACACTCTGTTTGATGGGGATCCTGCAAATAACACATGACAATTGACCTGAAGAATCATACGTATAATATCTGTTAAGAAATCCAACAGAAATAGTCAAATTCTTGCTTAACCTAAGTGAGTTTCATAGCCTGAGCAATATAAGAGTATGCCGAATAATAATCACAAACAATACAAGCAAAAACAGCTCTGATTATAATGTGATTACATTATAACTTTATTTAAAAAGGATATTTGGCAATGGGTGAGTCCACTTTTATGAATTTGCATTTTACTTCCGTCTTTCGTCGGCTTTTGCCATTAAGTTTGAATAATTCTTTACTTTGGTCCATTATTTATTTTATATTATTATTGAGAAGTTAGAGATGAGCGAATTTGTTATTTTTTGGTCAGTGTGACAACAATTGCAAATATCGATATTTTTCCTTCGGATTTGACTATTTTTAATCGTCAACAGGTGGAAACTGTTGTCTGATACCGGCTTGTTTATACGGCTCGGCTGTTGATGTTGATCAAGAAGATGATTCAAACAAATTTATTTTAATTTTTTAACCATTTTTAATGGAATAAAATGCGCAATTAATTTCAAGTAAACAAAAGCAGAGGAGTTTCTTAAAAACATTGTACATACTTTGCATTTCACAGAAAAGTCAACCGGGACTTTAATTTGAAATGCTTATAAGTAAACAGATTTTTCATATAAATGTATGTAAAAAAAATGTCAAAATTAGAATAATTTTTTGTCTTGCAGATTATTTCAGTTAATAATTCAGTGAAATTGTTTTGAAAGTCGCAAAACTTTTTTTTTACTTAATATTTTTTGCGTATCTTTGTTATGGTTCCAATATATTTTAAAAAAATATTTGTTATATTTGTTTGTAAATATTATGCCTTTCATATTTTTTCTTATATAGTTAATTAAATAATTTGTTGACATAATTTTTGATAAATATAAAGTTCTATTGGGTAACATACATATGTATGTACATAAGTTTGAGTGCGTGTACATTCATACATACATATATGTATGTTCATATGTACGAATGCATCACTATCTCTCGTGATTACTCTTGACTTAGTTAAAGGTGATATTACAAGGCATTTTAAAATCAGTTTAGAGCAAAAGGTTTACTTTGCGACATGGCGTTGAAATTTGCTGCGAATTTAAACTTCCTTTTCACTGAAACTGCTGCAGCTATTTCGGAAAGAATTCGATTAGCGCATCGGCATGGTTTCCAGGCGGTGGAAATACCATATCCTAGTGGCGAACTTCAGGAAGTCAAGGAGGCCATCAATGAGACTGGAATATTAATCAGTCTGATGAACATTGCATTGGGTGAGTCTCAATTTCTATACATACATCTGTACATATGTATGTACATGCCAGTGTTGGTAACGGTCGAAAACAAATCACTCAAAGATCAAAATACGAGAAAAACTACGATAAAATATCTTAATCAAAAACCCAAACCTTTTTTTTTAATTGTTTTTATTTGACATAACGACAAAATATAAGACACTTAAGTATTAATCGATGCATATTTTTATGAAATTGCAGAGGGTATTTTTTCGTGATTAAGAATTAAATATATCCTTGATAAGTATAACTGGCCGAGTAGATATAGCCTTGACTGTTTGTCAGTTTCTATGCGAATCAGTCTCTTAATTGTAAATGATAAATCTTGATAAAACTTAAAACAAGTAGTACATAGTACTGAATTATATATCTTTCCTGGGAACTATCGATTGAAGAATGATTGCTTGTATGAATAATTCTTTGGTTTATACAGAGAATTGGTGACGTAAACAAAAAACTGCTTATATATTTGTCCCACTAGCAGGATAAGCAATCCAATAAATCCATCATATGAAATGGACAAACCGTACGTTTAGATGCTCCAAATGGAAACCGCAAAATTGTTCCACTTTGAAAATGGAGGCGATTGAGCTACCGATTTTTAAAGTTAGTTTAGTTTTTTATATGAAAAAGGATCGGTTTTTAATCGCTTTTGTAGAGTTTTAGAAATATTTTTCCATTTTAATTAATTCAAAATTGTTTATGAATTTATTTTAAATAAATATTTTGTGAGCGTGTGTAAAATTTGTCAAGGAGTATTTAATGAAGAATTTTAAGCACCCTTGTGTTGAACATAAAATAACAAAAGATAATCCATTATTATTATTATTAATATTATTACTATTGAACATTTAGCAAGAAAATTAATATAATAAGGTTAATACAAATTTAATTTCAGATGGCACAAGGGAAGAGCTAAAGTTCGGATCTACAAGCATTCCAGGAGAGGAAAATAATTTTAAAACGCAGTTGGATAAATCAATAGCATATGCGAAAACTGTTAATTGCAAAAAGTAAGTGTGATCCAAAATCTCCAAAAAGTATATGTGAGTGATTATTATTCGTGAATGAGCACTGTGATCACTTGGATATATTGTGTATCCTTGAACGACATGTAATCCTCAGCTGAGAGAATCTCAGCCTTCTAATTGCCGAAGACAGGAATCTGGTTTTTATCTGGATTCTTGTTTCATTTTTTAATCAATTTGCTTGCTGATTGTCTGAAGATGCTTTAAGAATTCTTCTTTTCCATATCTAATGAGAAGTTGGGTTGGAAGGAATCTTCAAGCTTGTTGATTTTTACCCTACATTAAATACCGTGAGCTTAATTTCTCTTAAAATGAAAAGCTCAGCAGCGCGTTATAGGTGAAGAGTCACGATATTTGCCTTCAGGACACGTTTTTACATTTGGGCGATGTGCAACCAGCCGCTCCTTGGTATTCTCGACCTAATATGAACATGCCTGGCAAAAGCGTTTGCAGTTAACCTCGCATTTCGTTTATTACTTTTGATAACCTGAAGAATTTTGCATCAATGGCTTGGGACACCTGCGACCTTTTTGCTTTTGAGCACTCTTACGAATTTGTTAAGATTCTGTAACACTAATGTCTATAATTAGCGGATGATATTAAAGTTTATTTTATTTATTTCCAGAATTCACTTGATGGCAGGCACAGTTGATAGCAAACTGGAATGTGACCATTTTAAAACATATGTATCAAACTTAAAGAAAGCATCTGATGACTTGCAATTGAACAACATGATTGGAGTAATAGAACCTATAAATAAATATGCCATTCCATCATACTTTATGAACTCTTACGAAAAAGGTATAACAATATATTAAATATTTGATTTGACACATTTTTGAAATAGAGTTACCTCTTCTTGTAATAAGAATGAACAGATATCTGTTTAAATCCGTATAGAATAAGTTGGTTGTAATACTTTCTGTAGAGGGTAAGGGAATTAAAATAAGCTACTTGGAAATATGCCCAAAATTTTTTTATAGCTGGCTTTCCCCACATTACGCCGAGTACTCTAAATATTTGGCTGACTCCTTATTTTATTCCTTACTCTTTTCACTTTTTTAAAATTATCTGAAATCAATTGTGCGTCTTCCCTAATCAATCACATTACCTGATATTGTGTAGCATAAATTAATATTTTTAGTTGCAATTAATTTTTGTGACATCAAAATGAATAACTTTTAATGTAAATTTTCTTTGACAGCATCAAATGTTTTGAGGGAAATCAACAGCGATAATATTAAACTAATGGTGGACATATACCATCTTCAACACATTTGTGGAAACTTCACTAAGACCTTGGAAAAAAATAAAAATGTAATTGGGCATTTTCAAATTGCTCAAGTACCAAATCGAAATGAGCCAGATACGCCAGGTGAAATAAATTACGACTATGTTTTTGAAACACTGAAAATGTTTGGCTATAATGATTGGATTGGATGTGAATACAAGCCAAAAACGACGACCGTCGAAGGTTTAAATTGGATTTCGAAATACAATGTTAAAACTTAAGTATATTAAAATATACATTTTGAAAATTATTTGTGGTTATTTTTGAAAAAACCCATATGGCAATATTTTTTTAAAAATACATTTTGCATTCAAGCGCCTAAAAGAAAATATTCTTAAAAACAAAATGAAAACTGAATTTTAAGGAATAAAGATTGCAGTTGAGCAAGTTCTAATTCTAAAGAAATTTACAGATTTTGTACAATTAAGAGTGTTTTTATTATTATTGTTGGGGGTTCCATTTTAGTCTTTCCAAGTGTTAGATCATATCTCTCTTACGATGTTCCCTGGGAGCATCTGCACGACAATTGGGACACCAGTCCTTGGTGACAAGTTCTGAAAGGATAGTCAAGTTAATATATTTCCTTACCATTACAAATATTTTCGGTGCTGGATTTCTCTGATCTCCAAGTTGGAGTGCTTGAAGTCTAGCCCCACATTTTGTTTGATTAACATTCTGACAGTGGCGTCAAGGGCGGGCATATTGAAGGCTATGAAATCTACAAAAGCGACTCCGGTTGGCATGGTGACTGGGGCTTCTTCTTTAACGTCTTCCCCCTGTCCTTAACGATTAGAGTATTCAGCAGTCGGTCATGACAGACAATTTGATTTTTCTTAGCAACTAAGTTATTAACCTATATAATTTTGATTTATTTTGCACAATTGTATTTAATTTTTAATATATTTCGTATCTTACATATATTATTTATTTTATTTTATTTATTTGACATTTTACTCTTTAATTTTTAATATGTAATATTGTTTTTATATTCCATTTATTTTTTGTAATTTTATATATTTTTAAATTTTAAGCTTGTGGACTGTAAATATGTACATAAAACAGATGTAATAAAATAATAAATAAAAACACAGCATACAGAAGGCTTCCTATCTATTAACGAATGTGAAAATTTTTCTTTTTCGGGCTAGTTTGTAATATATCACGACCAATTTAAATCTAGCTCCCAAACAACAATGATTTTTGAAAAAGCGAATATTTTGACAATTTTAACCAGCAAACCTGCTCAGAAGACTTACATATCCAAGTGTGCAAGCAGTTTCTTTAATCTTTAACTTTTAATTATAAAATTAAAATAAACTTTTATCGGCAAAATGTTAAAATAAAAAGAGTTTAAATGGCAACATTATAGTTATCGTAATGTTCTATTCTATTGTTTCAAAAGTCTGCAAACAATATGTGTATGAGTTATTCGATAACTGTCGCAAAAGATATCGATTGTTAATAGATGTTTATTGAACAAACGGGAACGGGAGCGTCACAGCTTGCATATGTATCTTAAATGTACGGCCATTAATCTGTGTAAATGTTGTGAGAGTGATAAAGAAAATTGCATTGAAATGATGATGTTATCAAAGGCATTCACATTAAATTAGTAAATATTTGATGCAGTTGCTGAAACAGTTAAACTCCTAATTATATTAAGTTTCAATTGGCGTGCGACAGTCGTTTTTTATTATATTTTTAGTTCAGCAGAAGTGTGAAGTGTGTTTAGCAAAATAAAAATCAAAATCAGAAGAACATAACATTCCCTTGTGTGTGGCAAGAAGCGACGAGTCGATTATGTTTAGTATAAGTGAATTGTGCTGCATGTTTTGCTGCCCACCCTGCCCCGGACCGATAGCTGCCAAACTCGCTTTCCAGCCACCTGAGCCGACCTACAAACTGACGCCAGCTGATGACACAAATATCAAATACAATTTACAGCTCTACGATCGTGCCGAATGGCAATACTCGGAACGTGAAAAATCCAAAATCGAAGCGTTCTTCACGCGAACATCGCGTGGCAATTTGATAACGTGCACTTATGTCCGTTGCAGCAAAAATGCAAAATATACTCTTCTATTTTCACATGGAAACGCTGTCGATTTGGGTCAGATGAGCAGCTTTTATTTGACCCTCGGCTCACAGATCAATTGCAATATATTTGGCTATGATTATTCGGGTTATGGGATGAGTGGTGGGAAACCCTCCGAGAAAAACCTCTACGCAGATATCGAAGCTGCTTGGCAAGCAATGCGGACAAGGTGATTAATTATTTTCAATAGGAATAAAATAAACAATACTTATGCGTTTGAGTCTTGTCTTTAAAGGTTAAACATTAGTCCAGAAACCATTATTTTATATGGCCAAAGTATAGGAACTGTTCCAACTGTTGATCTCGCCTCTCGTCACGAAGTTGGCGCAGTTATTCTTCATTCGCCGTTGATGTCGGGCCTGAGAGTCGTATTTAGGAATACGAAAAGAACCTGGTTTTTTGACGCTTTCCCAAGGTAAATTGAAACAAACAAAATAAAAGATTATCATCTAAAAATTATTTATTTACGAAACACAGTATTGATAAGGTCGCTAAAGTAAAGTCACCAGTATTGGTTATTCACGGAACGGATGACGAGGTCATTGACTTTTCCCACGGAATTGGTATTTACGAACGGTGTCCGAAGACTGTGGAACCCTTTTGGGTAGAGGTAATTTTGCGCTGAATGTTTATTTAAAATCTACTCTATTCTAAAAGGTGGACATTTTTCTCTTTTTTCTAATTTCTTAAGCAGTTTATTTCCTTACTCATTTCAAATGATCGCACGTTTGAGCTTAACTCGTTGGAATTGTTTTAGAATGCGTTGTTTTGCTTTTGTTTTATCGTTATTGTTTAATCTATTTGTTATCGATCATTAGTTGCATCGAGCGATTACATTTACATTCAACTGCGAGATGCAACCGTGTTTGCTTCTTGCATTGTGTCATTTGCTCATTGCTATATGTTTACTTTGCCCACACCAAAAATAATTTGGTTTAATTATTTCATTGTTCAATTCGTTTGCCCTTGCAAAGGATATGAAATACATAGAATGACGATACATTGTACCCATGTTAGTCTGCTTGGATATATTGGGGAAAAAGAATAATATTGTATAATATAGACATACTACTGCTACTAAATGACCATTATTTAATTGTAATTAAATTTAGATGCGAGCAGGTGATCTTTTCTTGTTCTGTTTTTCATTTCTTAATTTTTTTTGAAAGGTAAGTTCAGACTATTCTTATTTTTTCAAATAACACCTATTTTGTATGCAAATGATTAAACTCCTTCAAATATCGGCTAATAAAACTTTTTCCGCGAATGCTTCAGTTTTACAACTGAAGTCACCAAATGCTATCCTTGCCCCGAAAATGCTGAAATTCCGTAAATCACAATTTAAAGTAAATAAAAAAAATATATATATATATATGTATATCCACCCACACAAACTCCGAAAACTTATCCTTATTCTTAAGCTGGATAGATTACTGATTGATTAGGTTGATTACTGACAACCTTTTTTCCTGGAGTTGGCGTCAGCAATTATAATGTTGCTTTGACTTCTTGTATCTTCTATGATCTTTTGAGATAACAGCCTTACGGACAGGTATTGCCTATATTAGCCGGATGACCTGCTTTATACGATTAGGTTGGCTCACTTGTCGCTATATCCCAACGACATCTCGAGTACTCTTTTTGTTTAATTGATTTTGTGATGCCACACAAGAATTCATATTAAGCTGTGAGATTTTCAATACTGTTCTTTCTTTAATCAGATTATGCCAGCTTACATCTTTTTAATATAAGCAAATTCGCCAGCAGAAGAGGAGAGGGTGTATTTTGTCCTCCGCATCTGCCGCAACCAGTTGCCGCAGTCTACCAAGCTGTTATAGCTAAACTCTAAAAATGTATAATTGTCTGATTTCTCGAATTTTGACTTATCAGCATCCAAGGAGGCTAGATTGGGGGCAGAGATAACCCAGGTAGAACCACAGAGGCCCCTATGGAAAAGCACACAACTGAGAATCGAAGAAAGAATCATCTGCAACAATTGAGCAGATCAGAGGTATCAGGTCTCAGTGCTCAAGCCATATATTAGGTATATTTAATTAAAAAAGATGAATAACCATGGAGCAGAATAAACATTTAAAATACTCACCACTCTCTAGAACAATTAGCAGAATCTGTCGATTTTGTGACAATGAGGATAATTCTGCAGATATATCATAGCAACAAGTCGCACATTAACAAGCAAAATATCTAGTATCCTAGGCATATCTGTTATCAACCAGAGGGACTTAGGCGCCCTCAACGTGGTAAAAATGCTTGGATAATAATAATAAATCCCTGCAGTTGGCAGTTGGTTTGCCTTCCTTTGATTTGGTTTTCGTGTCTGATAAAAATATCGCATTGCTCGATTTTAAAGCTTAACCTGGCCTAGCCTAGTGAAAAATTGAATACATCCTTTTTGTTTTCGAATTGCACTCTGCTAGACTTCAGTTTCAGATATGAAATTTGAAATTTAATAAAATTCTTTCTATCTTTTCAGGGAGCTGGTCATAATGATGTTGAACTGCATCCCCAATACTATGAGCGGTTGAGAAAATTTCTGTCCGTGGAACTGATCAAATGACAATTAAAGATCAATGTCGAGGGATGTGCTTTTAATAATACTTCAGAAGGAGCAACTAGTTCCAATCCTTTGGCAGCCAGCTTGAAACTCACTCAAAAACCTCAGACGACATCAACAGCGACAGAACATGAATCTAATAACAAAAATAAAAAGCCTGATGATAACGATGGTTAGTAGCACATAAAGAAAAACAAATAAAACTAAAAACAACAAATACTTATGTTAGTATTTTTTTTAAATATCATTGATGATTGATGATTGAATATCAAAAAAAAAAAAAAAACTTTATTTGACACAGTTTTGAAGTGTTGCCAAATTTAAAAATCAAATGGCTGATCAGTGTAATAAATTTGGAAAAAATATTGCTGACGATCTCTTGGAGATGTTGAGCAAAGGATTTTCGAATCATCTTCCCCTGTCTTTCCCATCTGTTATTGCACAAGTGTCAAAGTTAGACTGAATCTTCAGAAAAGTGAATTTCACACACTTCAAACAAATTCTAAAAATATTTCTACCTCCGACTAGTTTTAATCGCGGATCGAGCGATGATGAACAGCTTTCTCGAAGCCATGTCTAATGCTAAGAACAAGTTAAATGTAAAACTCGAAATTTGTTTAAAAACCTTTCTTAGTTCAAAATGCAGCTCTCCAGCAAATTATGTGAAGTTTTAGAAGCGAATTTTGTATGATTTTTGACAAACTTAAAAGTTATCGATAAATAAACATACATATCGATAAATATACATCTAATATTTATCAAATCTTTACAGGTCTTTCAGCATCCAGTTCGACATCAATTAAAGATCTGGCCGAAAAGTTTCTCTAGCAAAAAAAATTGGGCCTAACCTCTTCGGCCCAAAAAAAGTGTTCTTTGCAACTATCAAATATCAGTTATTCAAAGCGACATGAAAACATAGAAACCAGCCGAAACCAACCTGAAAATAGCTCTCCTCAATACAATATTATAAAATCTGATGAGATGATTGTGGCCACATTTAAACAAATAAATAACCCTGCTCCCACACTCCCCATACACTCTCCTCATTCACCTGTGCATCCGAATTCAAATTCCAGTATACAGCAAAATAAACTTTCTGGTCGGTATATAAATAATAAAATAGTTCAACAAAAGTCTGCTAACAAATTACTTAGTGCTAAACAATTGACTGAACACAAAACACCACATTTCAGTGTAAATGAAAATGCGAATGCGAATGAAAGATTATCATCAACCACTACTCACTCAAGTATAACATGTAGTTGTATCAAATCACCCAAGTACGATAAGACATTTATCCAAAAGGATCCCAAATGTGTTGATTTCACAAACGTTTCGGCAACAAATTTTACAGTTAAGGATCAGAAGTCGCCGAAACAGAAAAGAAATTCGCATCAGCAGCAGCAGCAGCTACTCAATATAACACCATCTATAAAAAAAACATCAACGAATGATTTCAATTTGAAAATCATTGCACCAATTGCTGCATCAGATGTTAATCAACAACAAAAACAACAACAATTGAGGCCTTCCTTCGGAGTTCAAGACAATCATAATGCCAGTCATCAGTTCACAATCAAAACAAGTAAATCGGAACAGACTTCGCCAAATATGATGGGCGGCATTAATCAAAAAAAGACGACTGCTTCGCATGGCAACAATAAAAGAAGTACCGATTCCTTGCACTATGTTTCACCAATGGACCCGTGGATAAAGAAAAATGATGATTTGCAAATGAATAGTTTCAGCGAGGCTGGCTGGGAAATTGCAACGGATCCTTGGATTAAACGTCCAATCGATTCGCTTGTAACAGATAAATTTGCACATTCTAAGGAAAGAACACAAGAAAATGCTTGTACAAAAGATGACTTTATGATGGAGGCAACAAGCAAACGATCTTATTTGAAACCAAATATGCACAAACAGAAACTGTACAGAAATGAAGAATCCATACTCTCTGCGCCACCATCTCCCCATTTAATTACCACTTCAAATATTAGTTGTACTATCAATCATTTGCCACAACAAAAGAATTTGCCAACGAAGTCTGCCAGTTTTTCACCGGCTCGGGGTAAACAATTTCTAAATCCATTTGAGGACACATTCACCTATGGCAACATCAAAACCCTTTCCGTTCCATCCGATTATGATGACGATCAGTCCAAACTCAATAAAAATTTAACTGTGAACAGTTGCAATAAATTACAGAATAGGCATAGCTTCTCCTCAATATCGAAGCAGTCGCGCGAGGAGCTCCAGTTAAACATTCGTCGTCTATCCGAGCAGATGGCTCAGTCAAATCTTGTACAATTCTCATTGGACGATTGCAATGTAAATAATATGGTAGATGATACAGAAAGTTTCTACCAGGAAATACCCGCGTCAACGACAGAATTGCATACAGTGGAAAAGACAGGTTATAAGACGATATTGAAATTCAAGGAAAGTTTTCAAACATTTAAGCACAACAATCCCAAAGTTTCCACAGTTCTGGGAAAGACAAAAGTCTACATTAGACATCAAAAGCCGAAACCAATGCCAGAAACCACCTGTTAAAAAACTATTGTTCAACATTCAACAAACAACAAAAAAAAAATTATTCAAATGAAAGAAAAAGAAAAGAAAAAAGATTGAGAACTTGGATATTCGTGTCCTTATATTCGAATCAAAATAAGCTACATAAGTATACATACAAAAAAATGAATGAGAAGCAAGCAAGTTTATCAAACATTTTTTATTTGAGCCTGCAAGTAAATATGCATTTATATTAAACAATAGGAATGCTCTTCTACATTCCCAAAAAAAAATAAAATACAAACGTGTTGTTTTTAAGTTGTAGGCTGAAATATATTTGCAAACAAAATGTTCTAATGTATTATTTTATTGTATTAATATAATTTCGTGTAAATCCCTTAAATTGATTGTAATAAAATCATATATACATATATATAATTATAAAATTCCCTTTCCGTAGATTTCAATTAGCATCATTTTGTTTCTTCAGAATGCGAATGTGTTAATTGTTCCATCGGGATTAATTGCTTGACTTTTTTCTTTTTTTTTTAACTTAGTTCCGAATCTTTATATAGCTGTTCAAAGTATAAGTCGAAGTATAATGCCCGATATCTGCCTTCAAAATGTCAAACTTATTTATAAATTAGCAGTCAGAAATATTGCAGCTTTAACAGAGCAGTTCAATTTATCATATTTGCTTACAGTTTGATATTCGTTTCACATTCACTATGTTAATGCTTATGCGGCATGGCAAACAAATAGAGTGCTTAGGGGAGAGACGGGATGTTACCTTCGCTAGTATTTTTCACACTATTATTAACAACTTGTTACTTGTAATGATAGTATATTTTTCACAATTCAAATTGCAGTTATTCATTTTATTAAACAGAGGCAGTATTAGCAGAGCATTCTACATTCATTTATGTTAATATTTTAACGGCATGTACGCAAACAAATAGTCCATTTATGCGAGATCGAATGTCATATTCGCTATAAAGCTTGACACTTTTATTAAACACAGCAATCTTATTTTCTGATTTGCTTGTGCATTGGTATATTGGTCGGCAATTTTAGCAAGTATTACTGTTAAACCGGTGCATATATTATTTTTTAAAAGATAACATGAAGTAACATACATATTTAGAGTTTGACATTCGACTTACATTTATTTATGGTAATGTTTTTTTCTGTTAAGCAGGTGCATGCCCTGTTATTCATCTTACACATTAGCGGCAGTTTTAAAATAGCATTCACAGTTAACATACATATCTACAGTTTGACACTCGTCTCACATTAATTTAAGTTAATGCTTAAGCGACATTGGAGCAAAAACCAAATTCAAATTCACAATATTAGAAATTTAATATTAGCTTAACTATAATGAATTGTATTGAGCACTCGGCGTCGTTGAATCAGCTTCAATATCAAGTATAGAGAAAGAGAGAGGAAATCGTCGCTCATTGCGTTTTTCAACTCATATATGATATTTAGGCATTAGCCGTGTTTTCAAATCGAAATATCAATTAACTTACCAAATTTAAATATATATTTATTGTGTAACTTAAAACCCAAAAGATCTGTTGACAGGCAAAAAATAATCAAATCTTTTTTCTTGCTGCGAAATTTTGACGGTATGGTTTGGGGACCGCAAAGCTAAAATCCAGTGTTAACTCACTGGTAACCGGTGTGGACTCTGTGAACAGCTGTTCGACGGTGTCAAAACAATTAACTGACATATTTTGACTTAGTTATCGGCAATAGAAGCTGCAAGTGCATCGAAATGGAAATGGTAAATTATGAATGATAAATGTTTTTAATCTTCGAGAAAAAAGTGTGCTTATAAACGCCGTAAGGCGAAATAATTAATTCATGACATATTTGCCTCTAATCAAATCTTTTTGTTTTTAGTCACACAAACGAAATGTATGTAAACTGGGCTTTAACTTATGCATTTCGATTTGGACCGATAACCACCGTCAAAATATATCAAACAGCTGTTCACAAAATTCACACAGGTTAACAGTAATTTCACAGAGTGGATTTCAGTTTTGCCGTTCCTAAACTATACAAAAAAAAAATATGAAAAATCACGCGAACTGTTTTACGCGATTTTTATGTGGAATTTTTCATATTCGATAACCAACAGATCAGCGATCTTTGACTTTTGAAATGGAATCTTTAATCACATCCACTTTGGCTACTTTGCTGCAAACCACCAAAACCATTTAATTGGTCAATGTATTAAGTAAAAACATTTATTTGTTCGCTTGGGTGTTCGAGAAATTGCTTGAGGTATTTCAAATATACTATATTCATTTATATAAAATAATTTATTTTTGATAATTTATAATTTGATGTCAAACATCTAAAAGGGTGAGAGTATTGGGATCTATTTAAATTTTCATTGGCGATAACATTCTTCCAATAAGAGTTATTTAATTTCGTTAAAAAAATCTCATCAACGCCTTAAAAAATTGACCATTATTCACATCACATTTACTCTGCATGCAAAACAGTGAAGAGTATTAAGAATAGAAAATTGCAATGTATAAATCTGCCTACAAATTTATTTTTATTACATTTTTTGCTCAAACATTTTTCAATCAACTAACAGGTGCAACTAATACTGCTGATTTTGTATATGCGAACAGCCTTTCAACTTTGAAAACTTCCAATGCGACACGCAAGACGCCGCTCTGTGTGATTGTCATATTACCATCAGCTGCACATTTACTAACGTTTCCAGTATGAATAGTGTTTCACTTCAATGAAAGAATTCCATGCGTTCCGCCTGTTGCTGTGTGTAAAGTAAAATGTGCCCCTTGGTTGGTTTCGATAATGAATAAATGCCATTCAATCGATACTTGAAGCCGATGAACAGCTCAAATTAAACAGATCTGTCCGATAACTTATATAAATATTGACAAATGTTACATAAGCTGAGGACGAAATTTTTTTTTATTTTTAAAATAAATAATCCTTACTGCAAATTAGAAATACCAGGTACAGTATAAAATAAATAATTAATATTGTTCAAACAAATCCTATAACAGGGAACTGCAAGGCTAAAAATTTTCCGGCTCTAGGCCTAATAAAGTTTAAATAGCCAAATTGGCATCACTTGCATCTGCACAACATTCGATAACTTATCGAAACTGTGTCTAGTTACTATCGGTGAGTGTGATTTGTATGTGTTCCATCCATATGTGTGTACGAAAATATACAGATTTGGAAAAAACGAGGAATTGCCAAACAATTTGTAAATACTCCGATTTAAAATGGGAGTACCCGCATTCTTCCGATGGCTGAGCAAAAAGTATCCGTGCGTCATTATCGAATGTAATGAGAACAAGGTAAAGTTATTTGTTAACGAGCATAAATACGATTTCCACTAACCGGGAAAAATTCAGCAAGTAGATCCGGACACGGGAAAGAATATCTACGAGGATGCAACGTTGCCCAATCCCAATGGGGTCGAGTTCGATAACCTCTATCTCGATATGAACGGCATTATACATCCATGCACACATCCCGAGGACAAACCGGCACCCAAAAATGAGGAGGAAATGATGATCGCTATTTTCGAGTGCATTGATCGACTTTTCGGCATTGTTCGCCCCAGAAAACTCCTCTATATGGCTATTGATGGCGTTGCGCCCAGAGCGAAAATGAATCAACAAAGATCCCGAAGATTTCGCGCTGCAAAAGAAGCAACCGAAAAGCGTTTGGAAATTGAGCGCATTCGAGACGAACTTTTAACACGAGGTAAGCATTTAATGCGTATGTGTGTGTTTGTGTATGTGTGTGTTTGCGCACGTGTGTGTTTGCGCACGTGTGTGTTTGCGCACGTGTGTGTTTGCGCACGTGTGTGTTTGTGTTTATGTATGCGTTTGTTACATATCCCAGGAGCGAAAAGAATGCATAACGAATTCAATTCGTGAGCTGTACTAAAGTAATCACTTTACATGCTGAATGCAGTCGTAAATGGAATACTATTCAAATTCATATACAAAGATATACTCTTGTAACCCAAAATGTATATATAAATATATGTTCAAAATATTGAAATTTTACCACACAAATTGCATACCCGTTAAAAAAAAAACACTACGACTAAAATTAAAGGAGACAGTAAAAGAGATAAGGAAAGACAGGTTTGCGCTTAACTTAAAAGCTACCGCATACAACTCTTCATTTTAAGGTAATGAATGAATGAATTACAACGTGTGCGCACAGAATACATTCTGTAATGAGAATGGCCATTCATCGCTGCTGGATGTTTATGATCATGCAGTTTTCATAATACACATAAGAACGGTGAAACATCCTTTCGTCGCCGTATCTTTCTATGGAAGCATAAGATAAAGTAATGAGATATTGATGATTTATTGCTGGAAGCATGATAATACAAATAACTTGTGATATATCTTGGTAATTACAAAAATGTATTATTCAAACCATTATTTCTTGAGACTATGATATAGTAATTCGAACCTTCCGACTTTAAGTCTGTTTGACTAGTTCGCTTAGGAACATCAAATTATGGATATATCGTGATGCTGATAAGGAGTATGTTGGAATTTTGTTAGATCCAAGCGCACAGTTTTACAGCGCATACAAACAAGATAACGATATGCAGGAACCACACTTTATTGATCTAATGACGCGACGCATTCGGCAGTCAAAAACGGAGTGTGTACAGAAGTATTGAGAGATTAATTTTTTAGTATATGCGAACGAACAGACAATGCAAAACTTAGGATAAGCTAAACGAGGGTTGCCAGATTGTTACATTGCAATCATTTGAGTCTTATTTGCAACACGCCCTCTCAAAGTAACAATTCTGTTAACCTTAAATACTAGTAACGCCCAACGAAGAGATGCAACCATGATGCTTGGCACTGCTTAGACCTTTCGTTAGTACATCTGCTGGCATTTGCTCCGTCTGCATGTAGCCAACCTGGATGTCGCCACTCTGGTGCTTCTGCTGGATGAAATGGTGGCGCACATCGGTGTGTTTTGTGCGTGGATGAAAACCAAAGCCTCTAACCAATTTTTGAGCGCTTTGGTTGTCGTTAAGGAGCAGAACCGAATCACATCTTCTGCCAATCCCGTTGAGTATGGCCTTCAAGTATAATGCCTCCTTTGTTGCTTCGCTCATTGCCAAGTATTCGGACTCTTTGCTTGACAAAGTGACGGTGCGTTGTTTTCGTGCCTCGGAACTTATAGCAGCACCTGCTAATATAAACGCCTGTCCAGAATATGACCGTCTGTCGGTCAAATTTCCGCCCCAGTCAGCATCGATGACTCCGTACAGATTCGCCTGTTCGCTTGAATAACAGGCCGAGTTTTTTTGGTACCGCTTAGGTACCGAAGGATGCGCTTCGCCGTCTTCCAGTGTTCAGCGTTATAACATGAGTTAAACTGACTCATGAAAATTACGGCGTACGCAATATCTGGACGGGTTGTAACTGAAAGAAACATAAGAGAGCCAATTAAGTTCTGATAGGGGTACTTCCTCATTTCGGCTTCATCGGCTGTTTCTGTTCGCTTCAAAGTACATTTCGCTTCTATGGGTGTTAATGCCGACTTGCATTCAGTCATCCCGAATCTTTTCAATATAGCGTCGATGTACTTTTCCTGTGCAGACAGGTTGTCACTGGGCCGAGATTTTTCATCTCAAATGCGTCTCCGAGGATTTCTTTGGTCTGATGCAACCAATCCGGATGATTTGACGCCAACAGCAAATCATCTACGTAAATGGATACTAGGAGAATCTTCTTCCCCTGCCGTTTGACGAACAAACATGGATCCTGCTTCGTGGGCTCTAATCCAACTTCTTGTAGCTTCGTCGTTAGTCTACAATACCAACGCAAACCAGACTGGCATAATCCGTATAACGCCTTCTTCAACAAACACACAGGGCTTCTCATTGATGACAGCGACGCACGCCATTCCGCTGTTGTCTTCATGTACTCTGTTCGAAGTGAATCATGCTTCGTTCCAATTGATTTGCCCGATTCCAACTTTTCCATGAAATCATTGAAGCTCATTGGCACCTCCATATAAACGCTCTCTTCAAGCTCGCCGTTTAGGTAGGCTGTGACCACGTCCATTTGATGTATCTCCATATCAAGTTTCGCTGTCATGGCCACCAAAAGTCGGACTGATGTAAATCGTGCTACAGGTGAATACGTTTCATGAAAATCCTCTCCAGGCCTTTGTGCATATCCTTTAGCGATCAATCGAACTTTCTTTTTTCCTGAAACGGTACCATGGTCTTTTGTCCGAAACACCATTTTGCAACCTATAATCTTTCGATCCTTAGGGCGTTCCACTATCTCCCATGTTCCGTTGTGTACCTGTGCCAGAAACTCATCTTCAATTGCCCTTGTCCAACTGACGCTGTCCTTGTGGCTTTTCGCCTCTTTCAGTGTAGTTGGATCATCTGTCGCAGCCATGTATGCAATTTCGCATTCCTCAAGTGTCTCGCTTGAGCTGCTCTGCTCGTCGTTGCTGATCACCTGAGCTTGTGGTTGATATATTTTCCGTGGCCTACCACGCTGGCCTGTCCTCTCGATCTTGGGACGCCCTCTGCCACGCTGCTGCTCAACTAGCTTCTGCTTGGGTCGCTCAACTGAACTGTTATCGTCGCTGGTAGACTCATCACAAGGTTTACTCGTGATATTGATGTCGAAACCTCCGTTTGAGTTTTGATCACGTTCGTAGAACTCAGCATACTCACTTTTAAAACCTGGGACATTCAAGAACTTGACATCTTTGCTTACTATTACCTTACGCTTCTCAGGTAAATATAATCGATATGCCTTCGATGTATTTGAGTAGCCGACCAGTATGCATTCTTCCGATCTTGATTCAAATTTACCCTTATTTGAACCTTTTATTAATGTATATGCCTTCGTACCAAATATACGTAAATGCGACACTAGGAATTTTCTTCGTCCAGTAAGTATGGGGAATCTCGCCGGATAGGCCCCGCGTTACACATCTGTTTCTGATGTAACATGCTGTATTTACTGCTTCTGCCCAAAAGGATGGCGGCACACCGGATTGCTTCATCATACAGCGTGCCATCTCGACCAGGGTACGATTCTTTCTCTCAGCTAAGCCATTCTGCTATGGCGTGTGTGGTGTTGTTAGGCGTCTCTGGATTCCGTTCACCTTCATATACTTGTCGAACTCTTTGTTGCCATACTCAGTCCCATTATCTGACTGAAGTACTTTTATCTTCTTTCCCGTGAAGCTTTCTGCTGTAGCTTTATATACTTTAAAAGCTTCAAATAACTCTGATTTCTGTTTAAGAAAGTGAAAAGTAGCGAAGTATTTACATCCTCCCAGGGATTGCGTTCTCATTGGGCCGCATACATCGCTGTGAACTATTTCCAATAGTTCCGTAATTTAAGAGCTACCGTTACCAATATTGGAAGGAAGATTAATGGGAAACTATTCCCGCCCCCAAAATTCAGAGAAGCTTATATCTACCGCTCGTTTAAAGTCAAACTTGGACGGTAGATGACTAAACATCTCAAAGATCGGTATATCTCGGCTACATCCACCTTGTTCTGTGACATCTGTTTTCAGATGATTACCTATGATATCAATATTTAAGCACGACTGATAGGTTCTGTCTTGTTTTTTTTTTACTAAAATAGTTGCAACTGCTCATCATAATTATTTCTTCGAAGTGAATAACGAGTAATATAAATTCTAATTTAAGGTGCTGTCCTTAGTTGTTGTCATGGACTCTTGTAAAACGTTTCTGTTCTTTTTTTCAGGCTGCAAACTGCCGCCGGAAAAGGAGAAGGGCGAACACTTCGACTCGAACTGTATAACGCCAGGAACACCTTTTATGGATAGATTAAGTAAATGCCTGCATTACTATATACATGATCGCCTGAACAATAACCCGGCATGGAAAGGAGTAAAAATTATATTATCCGATGCCAACGTGCCCGGAGAAGGCGAACACAAAATAATGGACTACATACGGAAGCAGCGTGCACAGCCGGATCATGATCCCAACACGCACCATGTGCTTTGTGGGGCTGATGCAGATCTGATAATGCTTGGGCTGGCGACTCACGAGCCGAACTTTACCATAATTCGTGAGGAGTTTCTGCCCAATAAGCCACGACCATGTGACGTTTGTAATCAATTTGGTCACGAGATGGACAAGTGTGTTGGGCTGAGTGCCGTTGGCTCCAATAATATAAATAGTCCACCCGATGTTCCAATTGGAGCCGAAGTGAAATTCATATTTGTCCGATTGAGTGTGTTGCGAGAATATCTAAGGAAAACTCTTGAAATGCCCAATTTACCGTTTAGCTATGACTTTGAGAGAGCTCTAGACGATTGGGTATTCATGTGTTTCTTTGTGGGCAACGATTTCTTACCTCATCTACCCAGTTTAGAGATCCGAGAAGGTGCCGTCGATCGATTGGTTGAGTTGTACAAGAAATGCGTGTATAAAGCCAGAGATTATTTAACCAACTCAGGTGACGTCAGTTTGGACAGGGTTCAATTAATCATGACCGACTTGGGCAATGTGGAGGATCAAATATTCAAAGATAGACAACGAAGGGAACAGCAATACAAGGCCAGACAGAAACGGGAAAATCACAAAGCTTTGGAACAGAGCGCTTTTGGACCGATGGCAGTTGGACGAAATAACGCCGCTGTAGATAAGATAATAACGAATTATAAACAGGAAGCATCTGCTGTACGAATGGGATCAAATGATTCGCAGGGCACCAAACGTTCGAGTACAAATGCAAATTTAGATGATGCGGACGAGGAGGAGAATAACGATGAAGTGCGACTTTGGGAGGATGGATTCAAAAACAGATATTATGAATCGAAATTTGATGTGGCTTCTGGTAATCTTCAATTTCGTTATGCTGTCGCACTTCAATATGTCCGGGGACTCTGTTGGGTTCTCAAGTACTACTATCAAGGCTGTGCTTCCTGGAATTGGTATTTTCCCTACCATTATGCGCCTTTTGCGTCCGATTTTGTAAATATACAGGGCCTGTCGACGACATTCGAAAAAGGCACAAAACCGGTAAGCTTGAAGAAAACAATAATTTTCTTGTTTACTTTATAGAATAATGTGTTCCTTATGCTTGGATAAGTTTGTGTTTTGTATTAAGTTAATGTTTTAATTCATTTATTCTAGTTCAATCCTTTGGAACAGCTAATGGGTGTTTTCCCAGCAGCTAGCAGCTCACATGTTCCGGAACCGTGGGCACAGCTAATGTCCAAACCCGTAAGTAATAATCATCAATGACTTCTAAAGAATTGACAAAATCGGATGTTTTAATCTGTCATATGCTGTGATACATACATTTCTTATCCTAATGAGGTTATATTCTTTTTTTCAGGAATCAACCATAATTGATTTCTATCCAGAAGATTTCAAAATTGACCTTAACGGAAAAAAGTTTGCGTGGCAAGGAGTTGCCCTGCTACCATTTGTTGATGAAAATAGGCTTTTTAAGGCGCTCGGACCTCTCCACATCCAGTTAACCGACGAGGAAGGTCAGTTAAATTTATTGAACCGATTCACAAGAAATATGTATAATATTTTCAACAGGTCAAACACTCGATGTAGACTCTCTAAAGCATATTAGTCCGTTCCTGTGTATAACTTAACAATTTCGAATAATCAATTTTTTAAACTTTCTACTTATTCTATTATTCCACATCTTTCGGTCACGAAATTGCAAGAGTTTTTGTTTTTGATTTCGAAGAAATCCAATAAGAATCAATCTACAAAATAAATAGATTTTGTTCTTTTAATACACGAGGTCAACCGTATGGATGTCAGTTTTTCCGTCTCAAATCCGAAAAAATGATAAATTTCATGTGAAGTTTTTCGTTATCTTTAACTTTTTCTCAATCGGAAGACAGGCTTTAAGATAATGTACAAGTATCGCGATCTGATGGGAGTATTGCAACACATTCTCATTTCTTACATATATTTGCCGAGCATTTTCTTTCGTAATGCCAGAGGATTGAGTCCCGTCGATGTAAATCACTCGACTCGGCTGTTCCGGGTTACGAGGTATATCAATAAACTCACTGTGATGATTTAGAGATTTTGCTCTGATAGCTTTGATAGTCGTCAAACTTGGCGATCGCTTTAGAAGTCTGTTAATATTAGTTTCTCATGGTCCGCATGGGCATTTTTGGATAAGAGGGTCCCGCATTGAGTCACTAACTACCGTGTGGTATGCAGCAACAGAAATCGACTAATTGAAATGATCTCGTAAAATTTAATTTATTAATTTAATTATTAATAATGATGTTAATTGTATACATATATTTGTGTTTTCATTTTTTAGTACAACGTAACAAAAGAGGGGATAATAATTTGTATATAAGTAAATGTAGTCCTCATTTCAAGACTATAAATAAACTCTACGAAGCTGGCGACAATTCCCAATTGAAAAACAGTCCTTCATCATTCGATGGAATGACTGGAACAATTTCCAAATCAGAGATCAACACTGCGTTAAACGGGTACGTACGTAAAACAATGTAGGATAATGATCAAATCATATATTATGCAGTGATTTCCAAATGAGTTCTCTTAACCCCTAATATACAATGTACACACATATTTTAATGTATATAAATAAGTAAATAAAAAGTTTTTTTTTTTGTAGAATGCATAAAACATTTCTTTACAAAAGTAATTTTGACATTGTTCAGCGTATTTCGTATTTGTTTTTTTTTTGTTAGTTATATAATTTATTCTCAATATCACTTGTGAAACTGTAACCGATCTCATTGAACTCATAGAAAAAATAAGTCGTTATAATCTTACAAATCAGAAATAATATATTGTAGAACCGCCAATTAAAAGAAATACATTTTTTCATACAAATACATTCGAATGGCACTTACATGATTTTAAGTTATATGACGATCGAATTTCGTATTTTATGAACGTCTATTGAATGTTTACCATATAATTGAATCAATTATCAAACAATTGTAAAACAAGCATTAAATACAATAAATGCTAGTTGTAGCAGAGTTAAACATTCTTTGAATATATTTGGGAGTGTCCTTAAAAGAGGCTATAGTTAAGTCGTCTGAAGTCACAAGAATAATTACCCTTCTTTTACATTAAATTTTTGAATGTTTTAATGTTTAGCTAAAGTGAAATAATTTAAACCACTTCAATACAATACGTTTTACAATAAATGTTGTGCTATGAAAAATGTGAAGAAAAATACAACAATTATTTACTCAACATTTATTTAATTTTTTTATTTTAAATTTTAGCCAGTTGAAGTCACCAATTCCTGGTTTGCCTGATATTATGAATAATGAAGTTGTAACAACTGTTTTCATGGATCCGCAGTACGAAGATAACTACAACTTTCTAGCTATAAGGCTGCCCAACGCCGTGGATCCTCCACAAGTTATACAGGCGAACGATCATAAAAATGGACCTGTCATCGGTAAAAGAAAATTATAATTTAACAATATACATTTCTATATAAATATGTAAACATATTTTTGCTGACTACGAACGGACTGAAAAATTATCGGTGCTCTTTTTGTATGTTAAGCTACTTGGCATAAGTCGTCAGCATTTGTTTATTGCTAGTACGATAAGTACGAGCGTAGTGCAGAAGCATTAACTACTGAACCCAAAGTCTATTATATTGACACTTTTAGTAACTATTATTTTCTTGTCTACCTGTGCAATTAGATTGGCGTATGCTAAAAATGTATCTTAAATAACTAAATACCGTGTAACGAAACCTTTTTTAATTCTATTTTCAATTTTATAAAGGAAAAACATGTGAATTTATTCTCTCATCTTCTCTTCTCATCTCAAACACTATATGGATATTACTTAAAAAAAGCAGTTGACAATCCCATTAAAAACATACACTCAAATCAAATCAATCGATTCAAAATCACAAATTCTTTTAGGACTGCATATTTTAATCGATGCTAATCACATTCTTTCACTTCAACCAATGATATTATTTCATGGAGTCTTGTTTCAACGCATACATAAGGTGTCATTTCTGAAAGTCTTTCTAACTTAAATATCCATCATCCAAGTTACGAAAAGGTGATAAGCAAAGCACTGCCAAAATATATATTTATATTTAAATATGTATTGCAGTACTAGAATAACATTCGATTTTTTAAATTCATGTATTTTTTCCCCCTTATTCCCCTTATTATTAAGCAAAGCTCATCATTCAGTGAGGACTATCTCTTTATGAATACAGTTTTGGTACTATACCTTATATTTTCTCTATTCAAAAGTTGAAAAAGATTAATTTTAAAAAAATATATATATGTATATGCAGAGCTGAAATAATAAAGTCAATCGGACTGACCTTTATAACTTTTTCATTTTCAAAATATTAAATAATACATTTTTCTTCTGGCCTAGGCTTCGGAAATAATTCGCAAAGGGCTTACATTCCTCCGGGCGGTCAAAGGCTATTATCGTCCAGCATGAGAACGCAAAGATTCGACAATGGATATCAAAATAATGGAAGAAATGGTGGAAATTACAATAATCCCCCACCTCAAGGTAAATTACAAACACTGCACACTAAATATGGAATGCTAGGGAATATCTCTTAGTCAATCACGGAAGCAGACCTATTATACAAATTTCAAGTAAAAATTATAAGAATCGCACAATTATTTCGTTAATCGTTAAAGGAATAATGTAAATTTGTTGATAAACTAATTCGGTCATTTTTATATTTTTCAGGTAACTATTCAAATCAAAGCTACAATAGGCCGTACAATCAAAGATACCAGAATAATAATTATCAACAACGTAATAATTATAATGGGCCAAGACATGCTCCATACCGACACCCAAATAGAGGAAATAATTCGCAGCATTCAAATTATCGACGATTTTAAACGTTCTTGTAATTGCAATAGAAATATATATTGCCATCATGTATACAAATCTATTCAATTATTTTGTATCCAAAAACAAACAAAATTTACTACAGACATTTTATATAAAGCTGATAAATAAACAGATTAAAATCGGTGCAAAAAGTATTTATAACTTTATTTATGTATGTTTCGAAACATTTTTTTTCCTTGAACAGGCTATTTTTATTTGGTCACGACCTTATCAAATATAATCGAGCTCTTCTGTAACTCAAACTATTTATTGTAACTACATTTTTGACCGATCGGAGAAGTTCATTGTAATGTTTCCCAACTTGATGACTCAAGCCCACTTTTCTTACGGCAGATGTTGATACGGGTTAGAGAAGTTTTATTTTACTGCAGATTATATATTAAAAGATACTCAAGTACTTAAGTACGGCTTGGTTCTCATTCTATTTAGTATTCAACTATTATTTATTTTTGTGGTCGACTTTAATTAATCACGACTAATATCATACAAAACAGAAAAAACTCAAAAAGAAGATAAAAAAATAAATTAAAATAATATATAAATTTAAAATTTGAACAAACATAAATGCTTATAGAGTAGGAGTTTTTAAATGCAAAATTGTCCAGCATTTCTGCATTTGTTGGTATAACAAAATTGCTTAGTATGGTATTACGAATGTAATTTACCTACATACAAAATAGTGTCTATATAAAATACAATTCAAAATTTTGGTGTACAATGGGAAAGTGGATTTCGGTATAATATAAGTGCCCTTGTTAAGTTGATTCATTAAAAGAAGAAAAAAGGGTAATCAGAACGGTTTTTTGAGAAGGAATTTTTGTGTTTTTTCATAGTTTGGGTTTATATTTGAACAAAATATTTGGTAATTGAGCTTATCTTGTACATATCGTTTCCCATCAACTTACCATGGGTTTGTTGCTAGTAAATATCGGTTGTGAGCCGATTATGGTCAGTAAGGCCAATTTCAACTTGATAGATGACAACATCTTTCTGCTCGTCATATTCTCGACGAATGCAGTCTTCCTGAATTGAAAAATCATCTAGTTTCTTTTCGTATAAGGTAGTGATTCTTCCGATATCCTTTTTTTATTTTATTATTATTAAATTTGAAATGTAAGCCGCTAAAAAAAAACATTTTTTCTTCTGAATTTGAAGTTTCACAATGTGAAACCGATTATAATCGGATACAGGTTACCCTATTAAGGGTGATTTAAAGCTTCTGGCGAAAAAAAACACTATCCACAAAAAATTCAACATATTCTTTAAAACATATTTATTTAACAAAAATATATATTTAGGGCACAGAAGAGGCTAGGACGTGCCCATTTTGAAGCTATTTTCCATTTATTGAATTACTTATATATATTATTAATGTGTACTAAGATCATTTCGACATTAAAAATAAAGCAGATTAAAAAAAGCAGTGTTTTGTTTGATTGCCGTTTTTTTAAAGGTGTTTTTTTATTTTAACTTGTTTCGAATTCCTGCAGACGAATCCCGACGGCATTCTGAATATTTTGGACTTGACCGGTCGACTGCAAAAAAACATAATTAAAAAACGAAACATTAAATTTAAATTTAGAATGAAAAAATAAAATAATGTATTATTTTATTTTTTCAATCTAAATTTATAGGTTAAGCGACAAATTGACTTAGACCAATTTTGACTTGAAAACCCATATTCCACTCAGGCCGTTGAAATAAAAAAAAATATGAATGAATTTTTTGATGAATTTTCGTACTGATCTCTGAAAATAAGCTTAAATCCGATAAAGTAAATATAATATAATATATAAATATAAAAAAATTAGATCAAAAACAGAAATAAATATGAACAAATATAACAGTTTCAATTAAGGACGTAATTTTAACGGGAATACAATTTTCGCAGTCATTTGTGATTGGGCAAAACTTAATTAACTAACTAATTCATACTGAAAATTTTTTTTTGGCTGGATTGGATTTTTTAAATTAATTTAAATTAAATTTTTACTTTATTTTGCCATGCCGATTGAAATTATTTACTAAATTTAATAGTTTGCGCACTTTTGCGTTGGAGAAGCATTATATAATGTGTTATTTTCTATAAGGATTCATGAATGGATATGTGTGTATTTAGCCTAAAGATTTTTCTTTCAATATTGCTTGTCACTCATATTTTTACATATATAGGAATGGAAAATAATCAAAAATTGATAAGTGTTATTTCGAATTTTCGTCTTAGTTAAACACGAAGTATCCAAAAATTAGCTACATTTTTAAAGCAATTTCACAGCAAAAAGAAATCACGTTGCCAGATTGTTGGCAGCTAACCAGCCAGTCTCGCAGCGATGTGCATAACAAGCGCCGCGAATTTTGCGCTAACTGAAATAGGCGTTAACACAGCGCTGTGAATTAACAAAATTCATTTGACGCTAACGGAAAGCAGTCGTCTGCCCATGTGGAAGAAATTAATTCGACATCTAAGCTATCAAAGTAAGGTAGCTCAAAATCGTGAGGGCGCCCGATTAATTGTGCGCCGTCTTCAAAAAACTGTTTTGCAAACATTGCGAGATCCCTACTTAAAGATGTCCGAAACCACATTTAAGCCAAAGCCAAAGCCATCCGAGCCAGAGCCGCCGCTAAATGATAGGCAATTCACAGCGCACAGAAGCAGCAAACAGGATAGCAATTGTCGCACCTGCAACGACTTCAAGTCCTGGTCCAAGCAACAGCGTCTCATCTCCAGCACTCAGGCAGCAAAGGTAAATGCGACAACGCTCTCTCTCTCTCTCTCTCTCTCTCTCTCTCTGCTCTCTGCATTCACATACTGCCCATTTGTATAAACGCATCTTTTTGCGACATCCTTAAAGCCTTGAAATTTGGAACATATACTTGGCTGTGCCCGCGTCAGACAAAGTGTTAAAATTATGGAGTTACGATTACTAGGAGACTAGGAAATCGATAAAAATCGATCATCGCAAATATCCAACAATTTAAGAGAGTTCCTAAGCTTGAAAGGCAGCTTGCTGGTAACCTCTCCCTCCTCCTAGGCATATACATTTTCAGATCACGCCCACATCCGCCGCCACCAGGAACTACGGCCTTGCTAGTCTGAAATGCGTATTCCATAATTTGTAAGATAGGGTCACCATATTATGAAAGTATGTTACCGGTATCTGCCTTAAAAGATTGATAAACAAAATATGGTAAAAACCTATATCTTCCGCTATGTAAGAGCTATAGTTACCAAACTTGAAGGTTACTAAGAATGTCTTAAACTCCCAAAATATCTATATCTTTCCAATATCAATTTTCAAGCCAAACTTGGATGGTAGATTACTAGGAACCTCCTTCAAAGATCGCTATTTTTTGGCCACACACACCCTTGGTTTGCCCCACCTGTTATCAGCTGCCATGACTTGTTGGTATCACTGTATTTTGCAGTCGGTTACGCCCGACTGCAACGTTGTCACTTGTTTTTTAACATGCTTGCATTTTATGGCTAGGAAAAACATATGGCTGCCAACGAGACACTTAATGTTCAGGTAGCAGCGCCGAGGGATGACTGCCCCCTGGACAAGGTGCGTCTGGGCATATCCACTTGGAGTCTACTGCACACAATGGCTGCATTTTATGCGGACAATCCGACAGACACTGAGAAGCGGGATATGCGAAAATTCTTTGAGGTGCTCTCGCGCTTATATCCATGCGAGTATTGTGCCAAGGACTTTCGTTCAGAGTATGTGTGCCTATTAAATGTTAAATATCTAACTATGACTTTAATTATTATTTTTTATTTTTAGAATTGAGGTGAATCCAGTCAATGTGAATTCACAAAAGGATCTGGCGATGTGGCTGTGCAAGTTCCATAATCGAGTGAATGACAAGCTCGGTAAACCACTGTTCAATTGCAGTAAAGTAAATGAGAGGTGGCGTGACGGCTGGCTTGATGGATCCTGTGATTAGGTACTTGCAGTTAGCTATAACTCAAGTCCAGCCCATACCTCCACTAAGCTCTCTACACAGATTTATAACGGCGGAATCGTTGTTTGCAAAATTTAACTCATATATTGTACCTATTTGGAAAACTTATTAACTTATAATACTTTAACGATGCAGATTCTATTCTGCTCCTGTCCCCGTCATTGAACGTTTTGTAATTTTCAAATGTTTTAAACGATTATCTTGCTATTTATGTTGTTTAACAAAATTCATAAATTTCTGTATATATTATAATACTACTAATCGATTTAGAATGGCACAACTTGTGTTCTGTTTTGGTACGGAAGAAGTCTAAAATATACCTACTGTAGAAAACATTCATCATTCAAAATTACTTCATTTAATGCCATTAAAATAAACTTTCTTCAATTAAGCTTTGACATAACCCCTTAATTTCCATTAAGTGGAAAGAGTATTTTCTAGAAATTTGTGTGCAGTCGTTTTTACATAAAGAAATAAAATTAACATTTTTCTAATTCCGCTGATGTATTTTCCAAAATTTGAATAAATGTTTAAAAATGTTTGCTTAATTCTTCTAAATGTGGTGTTTTTCAAATCAGCTTGAAGACAATCAGACGGAATTTAAAAATACACAACTCGTGAATTTAAAGCTAATCAGCTAAAGAACATTTACTTTTTAATTTTTCTTTGAATGAAGCTTTAAACATGAGTTTGAAGATAATTGATTTCCATTTTCTTAAATACAAACATTGCGCAATTAATATTGCAAGTAGGTGGAGCTATGAAAATATGTTTGGCTCGAAAACTGAACATTCTCCCATAAATATTTGATCCCCCATTAAAATAAATCTATGAATAAGAATGTATATTTGCGGCATGCCGGATATTATTTGGCTTTTGCAAATCAGAAAAAAAAAACATATGAAAAACCAATTACGTAAATTCAATGTAGCAAACATTCACACCATGTTTACACAATGACAACTGACGTTTCTCGCATTGTCAATCAGTTGTCACACTAGGATTGACTAATAACCTGATTCCACTACCAACATTTTTGAATGTCTACAGTTGACTGTACGTTTCCCATAAGCTATTACATTATGTACATTCGTAAATTATGTTTCGTATGTTAGAAATTCGCCATAAGTTTTTTTTGTTTTTTTTTCAATGATTATATGATTTGGTAAGTATCAGCCAATTATCAAAAAGTTTCACTGGAAAGTATCAGTCAAGGGCAGAATCAGCTTTCATGTTAAATAAAATGTTAAGCGCTTAAATGTTGAATAAAATTAAAATGTAATTTGTATATTTTAATTTAACATTGAAGTCAAAATCGAAATGAAATCCTTTTAGTTATAGCTTGTTTTATATTTAAATTAATTCATATTTTTTTCATTTCGGAAAGGCAAATAAAATTAGGCGATCAGCCGATATATGCAAAATATATTAGTTCCAAAAGGAAATTAAAGTAATATATATTGTATTAAATATTTTTGACTCTACATACATTTATTTATTTAATGTCGAAACAAAAAAATATAAACGCATAAACACGATGATTACTTAAGAAAAGAAGGTTAATGAGGAGCAATCTATCTGTGTATGTTAAATGTTTGTTAAATGTTATGTACCCAAGTTAACAATGGATTACAACTGTTTAAATATTCGCTGAAATTATGAAAACTCTTTTATTACTTTTTTATGAGGCAATTAAACATATATAATCTGAGCAATGTAAAAGATGTGTTTTTTGGAACATTATGTTGTTAAAATGAAAATGCTAAAAAAAGAATATTTATGGGCTTGAAAATCTATTTTAACTATTTAGATTGCTTTATATTTAATCTTTTTATACCCCAGCAGAAGGAATCTGAATCAAAATCATTTGCAAATATTTATAGAAATATTTAGTCAAATTTGTATAACATTTCTAATTTCTGCCGAATATTGTTTTGTTAATTCATCTTATATGAAATGTAGTCCGCGCATTTACCGAAAGATTTTATTAATGCAAATTTTAATTTACAGTTAAAATTAAAAGATAAATTAAAAACTAATGATTAATTTGAAATGAAAAACAAAATATTAAATAAAGTATAAAATATATTCGAGGGTGTTAAACTGTAAAATTATCAAAAAAAATACAACATGAACTTTATAATGTATATATTTTGATAAGCAACAAATCTTCCGGGTGATAGTTCCTTTTTTTTTTTTAAAGTTATCTTAAGCAAACACACTAGTTACAAGTTATACTATAATCCTAATCTTTTTTTTTGTAATCTAATTTTTATATTTAGGGGACTTTATAACATCTGAATATAAGTCCACTCAAATTTATATACTTATATATATAACTATGTACATATACAGGTGTACATATACTAACGTCAATTTTTTTGTGGCAGATGGTGATTCGAATTAGGCGAGTTCGACTCACTACCTAACCTAAATCGCCTCTTCTAACACATTTTTTGCGGTTCAGTGCCGAATTACAGGCGTGCCGCTGTGCTGTCGGCAAGTAAAAAGTGAGAAAATGTGCGCCCCTACAGCTCAAAGCCAATATGTATCTCTAATTACATATCTTTACACCTCTGACATCAAACATAACAGTTTGCTCTTGAAATTTATGGTTTGGAAATTATGAGCAAAGGTAATCTTCTCGCCCTTATGCGACAGGTGGTGCAACAGCAGGCCACCGACACAGTTTAAATGTGTAAACATATAAAAAAGGTAAGAAGTGTAAATACTCGATCATTCAAAAATAAGAATAGAATAACATCAATGTATACTATACAATAAACAGGTATAATTGGTGAATACATTCTAGTAAACACAAATGTGGCATGATTGGAAGCGATACGATTATTATGTGATGCTGTCAAATTGACACTCTCTTCCACATCATTAAGAATACAAGTTGTTTTATATATATATATATATTCTTTATTAGCGTTAATAGCCGAATCGATACAGACCTCTGCAGTAATACTTGTACTCAACTTCAAAACTAAATATTCTTAAAAATATTAGTTTAATATTCAAAATGGTAAGTTTAAAAAAACAAATGAGAGTAATTGTCCTTCTATGACTACCTGCTTACATTTGAGTGTGGAAAGTCATATAAATAGCAACCTGGTAAAAAAAAAACTTGAATATGTATTTTAATCCACCTAATATATTTTTTAGTTCGAGTTATCTCATAGTAGAGATCTCAATGCTAAATTATTATAATTCGTTCTTATTAGTAGCTGTTTTTCGCTAAAGTATTAATTTTAATATTAGTCTACATTAAATAAATAAATTTAATCTAAAATGGCCACACAAAGAAATATCACCTGCAATAGTTAATAACAAATTAACATATATATGGTATGTAAATTTTTTTATTAATAATTGTATGCATAGTGCTGAAACTCAAGCTAATTTTTACAAATGTTTCTGAATACTTTGTGTAGAGTAAACTAAACTAAACAATAGGCTTTGTATAAAATGTAATGTAATTTTTGCATTATCTTAACACAACTTAACTATACAAAGAGACATAAATCCAGCCCAGCAATTACACTCAATGGAGTGGTTTATGAACACGCACAGATTGCCTTCTTATGCGAGTCACAATTAGAAAAGGAAAATTACAGTGGCTTACCAAGTACAGATATTAATACTCTTAAGCAAACTCCTGCTTTTTGCATTCGTGACTCTCCAGACATTTGCACAGTGCAGCAAAACTCAATTCCATAATTAGACCTATGGTAGCAACCAAGTCCATTAGTCAGATACACAATTATACATAGAGACCTGAACATTAAATCTCTCATAGACATAATTAATTCAATTTTAAGCAAACAAGTTTATCTGCATCATCATTCCAACTCACTTGTTGAAGAAGACAAGCGATTTCACCCAGACCAGACTGCCTTCACGCAGCCTTGCTCTTAGACGATCACTCACTGCCCCACTCCCATAAAAAAGAACACAAGCTACCATAAAAACTTAATTTAAGAACCAACGAACAAGTTCTTGCTATTTATATATTTATTTAATGTCGAGTAACATCAGATGACACAGAATAATGCAAATAGTAGAAAATAAATTAAATTCAATTAAAAATATAATTAAATAATTAAATTTAAGTCTACAAAATTAGAAATATTTATAGTATTTCTGGGAAATGAAAAAAAAACCTAATCAGAAAAAAATACTTAAAATTAATTTTAAGATGCTCAACCACAAATACATTCAAGAGAGTACGAGTACAATTTTCAATTTACATATTTTAAAACTAATCAGTTAGTCATAGTTCCACCCATCCTTCAAAGAATACGTCACACAAGCGAATTATTGATTACATAATTTAAAAAAAAAATAAGAATTGACACATTTTTCAATAGAATCAAATAATTCAGAAATCTTCGAATGATGAAATGTAATTAATTTGCTTAATAAATTTAGAAACAACTAATTTTAATGAGGTGCGATATCTAAGCGAATTAAGGAATTAAATAAGGAATTGGATCAGTTTTGGAAAATTCGAATAAGAAAGCAGTTTTGATTCAGTGCATTGTTGTGCGTCACTGAAACGACACGTTCCGAGTCAGTTGCATTACGGTTCAGTTTCAGTTTCATTTTCCATTGTATGCTTATTGCATACTCCGAGCATGAAGTTCTCAACATGACTTGCAGTATTCAATGCAGCTCAAGCCAACTAAGAAGTAGATTAATGTTTTGCGTACAAATAAGCAGGTATTCAAGTGCAAATGCACGTCAAATGTTATGAAAGGTTTTATGACTGGCGCCTATGTTAACAGGTTCACGTTGTGTGTAATGTTTTCTCTGACAAACACAAATACAACAAAGTAAACCATACTTACCTGTGTGTGTGTGTATGCATTCATAGATCCTGAACTCAATTAGAGCGTTCTGTGAAAACATACACACAAAAAAATGCCTTTGGTTTTAGAAATTCGCTACACCATTATTCAGCAAATGTATTTTTTAAACGGAAGGTTGAGACTTTTTCAAAAAAATAATAATTAATTCGAGTTTCATGTAGAATATAATAAAGGTTTTTCTAATTTTAGCACATTTTTTTTTTTGTTTATTTAAAAATTGTTTCTAGTTTTCTGGACTGTAATCATAAGAATCAGCATTTCGCGGCGCGAATAACTTCTGTGTTTCCTATTCAATCTTGATGAATGATTATCTCAATTATACCAAGTTGATTTTTATTGATGTCGTTAATCAAATTTTGGTCGATATTAGTGATTTAATCAATTGAAATGAAGAATCCCACGTCATATTTAAGGAACTTAATTTGATAGCTTGACTTCGTTTTTATGTCTCCTTGA